GTATTTTTTGTGTGTCCTAATTTTTGGCAATTTTTGCACCTCATCGGATTCGGAATATGCTCGCGAACATTGACTCGTTCCCATCCTTTGTGAATTTTTTCAGGTATAAGGTCAAAAGTGACGATGGCTGCACCTGTTGGGGTTTCCGTTCCGTTTACCAATTTTGATAATTTTTTTAATTTCGATGACTTTTTGACCTGCCAATCCTTCAACTAATTCTGTTTCCGTACGGTGAATTAAGTGTTTTGAAAAAATTCGACCTTGAGTGGAGTGCAGGCTCCTGTGGGAAGTGATTTTCATTAGTGTGTCGCTTTAATAAATTTATCGGCTGCCTTTCAGTTGCTAACTTTGATAAGTAGGTCTCCAGATTTAAGTTCCGTAACTTCCGTATAATCGGTGCTTATGTGTTTGAGCCCTTTTTCCATTTTAAATACATTGTATGAAGCTAATGGACCAGTAGCAGTTTCTCCAATTTTTGGACCTGTTGCTGAAGTAATTAGATACCGTGGAATATGGTCGTCGTTCTGCGTAGTTTCCGGAAGAGGTGTGAAATCATAAGTCCTTAGTCGTTTACCGTAAGTCTTTTCGCCAGAGAGGTTTACATCGGGATCTAGGTCCCGGAACCTATTCCTATTGGGGGGAGGGGGTGAACCCCATTCATTTCGCCTTGTAATAATCAGAATTTTTGAATATGTGTATATGCACTTATACAGTACTATATTATAATTACGTAGTAAGAGAAAAAATGAGTTAAACCGTATTCAGTTAATCAATGATCGCGGTAACAAGCAGGTCTTAACGCGGCAATTGCCTGAGGTAGACTGCGCTGCTGAACTTATATATGGAGAAGCTATTGAACTTCCAGGAGATTTCTTTCAACCACAACCAATTGGAGATCCTACAAGTTTCGTTTCAACTTTAAAAACAATTATGAAACATTTACAACCTGTTCCAACATCGGTGCATTCCAGCAAGACAATTTTAATTAGCAAAGACTTAAATACATGCACACACCCAGAAGATAATTTAGGTAGGCCTTCTAAAGTAAAGCCATTTTAAGAGACCTACCCAAGAAGGGTTTTTCAGCCTCCTTGCATGCCTTCTAGAAGGGGTTATTCATTTACAATTTACGCGAATGCATACATTATATTATTTAGCGTTACAAAATTATTCAACATTGTTTATTGAGCTTGAGGCCGTTTTTAATGAAAAACTATTGTGGAAAAGCAACAACAATTTAAAAAAATGGTAGAAGTGATAGCTATTTCGGAAATCACCACATTTTCTCATCAGACCGCTCAGCGGGATTCGAGCTGACTCAGCCAGTTGCCTACGCGCTGTGCTAAGTTCGCCTTATAAACTTTTGTTGCTTTTTCCACTTTTTCATGTGAGCCAACTACAATCAAGCGCAGCTATTCCAGCGCTATTTAAACTTGATCATGTGGTTGTTGGTTTTATTGGCTTTTGTTAATTCTGTTGTTTGGTGTTAATTCTATTTTGAGAATGTTTAACTTTTAGGTGTGTTCGTCCTAAGTTATTTGTTTTTGTTATTTATAACCTTTTAACAATTATATTCCACAATTTTTATTGAGCTTGGGGCCGTTTTTAATGAAAAACTATTGTGGAAAAGCAACAATTTGAAAAAATGGTAGAAGTGATAGCTATTTCGGAAATCACCACATTTCCTCATCAGACTTCTTTCAGTAGGATCCGAACCGACGATCCCACTGATTCAGCCAGCTGCCTACGCACTGTGCTAAGTTCGCCTTGTAAATTATCGTTGCTTTTTTCCCCACTTTTTTATTTGTTAAGCCAACACAATCAAGCGCAGCTATTCTGCTGCTATTCACACTGGATCAAGTGGTTGTTGGTTTTGTTGGTTTTTGTTAATAATTTTATTTTTAGAATGTTGAACTTTTAGGTGTGCTCGTCCTTAAGTTATTTGTTTTTGTTATTTGATGGCCTTATAACAATTATATTCAACAATTTTTATTGAGCTTGAGGCCGGTTTTAATGAAAAACTTATTGTGGAAAAGCAACAATAATTTGAAAAAATGGTAGAAGTGATAGCTATTTCGGAAATCACATTTCCTCATCAGACTTCTTTCAGTAGGATTCGAACCGACGATCCCACTGATTCAGCCAGTTGCCTACGCACTGTGCTAAGTTCGCCTTGTAAATTATCGTTGCTTTTTTTCCCACTTTTTCATTTGTTCAGCCAACACGATCAAGCGCATCTATTCCGCTGCAATTTACTCTTGATCATATGGTTGTTGGTTTTGTTGGTTTTTGTTAATAATTCTATTTTTAGAATGTTTAACTTTTAGGTGTGCTCGTCCTTAAGTTATTTGTTTTTGTTATTTATGGCCTTATAACAATTATATTCAACAATCAACAACGGCCTCAAGCTCAATAAAAATTGTTGAACATAATTGTTAGAAGGCCATAAATAACAAAAACAAATTACAAATTAATTTTAATAAACATTTTAAATTGCAATAACACATATTTGATATAAACCTTATGCAAATAATTCAAAGATGTATTATTTTTATAAACTAAAGAAGCAACTTTAAAAGAACTCCTCCAAAAGGCCTTCATATAAAAGCCCTTCTGGAAGGCCTTCCATGGGTAGTGAAAGAAGAAGCCCTGCAATTTGTGCCGACCCATACAAAAAAAAGAAAGAAAGGAATGTAGACCGAAAGGCCTCTTGACTCTCAGGAAGGCCTTTCGGAAAGGCTTTAACTCCTGAAATTATCTACTGGGCATGTCCGGATCAGTGTTGATACTGGTCGATTATCTTTGGGTTTTAAATATTCAGGACCATATGCAGTCCTCGAGGGATTCCCTAAATACTTTAAAATCTCAGGTAAAGATAAAATTCAAATAATTTCTATAGACCGTTTTAAACCAGTTTTTCAATCAAATGGACTTTAAAATCTCAGGTAAAGATAAAATTCAAATAATTTCTATAGACCGTTTTAAACCAGTTTTTCAATCAAATGGACTTTAATGTTAATTACCTTTTTTCTTTGCAATTTATTACAAAAAATTGTCAAATAAGCGCATTTACATTTTTTTTGTCTATCTGTATTACCATGATACAATAATTTTTAGAAGGTAGTTTCACTTCTTCTTCTTATCCGCCATGTTAGCTATCTGACAGAAAACGTGTTTCGTATTTTTTGTTGTACCAACTTTTCAAAAAAAAAAACCAGCTTTTGACGTTGGAAAAATAAAACAAAGAAAAGCCAAACATATAAGTAGAGAAATTTTCGAATATTTTGAAATAATTTTCTTCATAAAAAATTAACTGCTGCTTTCGTGGATATTGCAACACACGGAATAGATGTAAAGACACAGCTATAAGAGCCACCGCACACCACAGACTTTATCGGCCGCCTATTTAAATGATAGGGCTCGCTTGAAATATGTACATGAAGATGTATGGAGGTGCGCACATTACACCAGCTTAATCGCTCTGACCAATAAGTTGTGGTGCAATGGAAAGACTAGCGAGCACATCTAAATTGGCGGCCGATAAAGTCCGTGGTGTGCGATGGATCTAATTCATTATAAACAAGAAATATTGCTGTTATATTTTCATTTTTATGATTTTTATTCATGTGATTAGCAGTGGCAAAAATGTATGAACAAAATACGTGTATTTATATTAAAAATTAAGTGATCAGTTATGAAACATATAAATCTTTACATGTTCTGTTAAAAAATATCTAAAATAACAAGCGATAATCCCCAAGTTCTATATCGTAGCAGTGGCCACATTGCGTGTTTGTCACAGACACGGTTTATGTCAAAAATTTTGAAGTGAAACTACCTTCTAAAAATTATTGTATCATGTGTATTACTGTATACTGTGAGCACAGCATAACGACTTTAGATTAGGTAGATAGATATGGAAGTTATTTTAGAACTTAAAGTATAAATGTGAATATGTATATAAAAATGGGACGTTGCGCAGTGCTTCCCTTGCGTCCTTTTATTAAAAGTATAATAAATATTCATATCAAACCAGTAGAGTTCATAAGTGTCCTCAGTAGTGACTCGTCCTCAGCAAGAGCAGGGACGGCCACTTTCCTAGTGACATAACCGTCACTCGTGCCCGCTAAGTTCGGCACGTTTTGCTATCACATTCTTAATAGTGAATCAAAAATGCTCCCAGAAGTTTTGTGTACGTGTGATTTTTCAAACCAAATAGTTTGCCTGCTTGCTCATATATGAAAATATTAACTTGACTCATATGTGAAAGATAGCTCGCACGAAAAAACAATAGATGGCGCTCCAATCAAAAATTATTACAGGTGTGTTAGTAACACCATAAAATTTGCGTTTGTGTTGGAGTTTCTGTCACGCTGTCTGTCACAAAATGCTGTCCCACCCGTCACAAGCCAAAAGATTTTTTATTAATTCTCAAATATAATAATGCCACTAAAGCATAAAATGGACCTTAACATTCTTTGAGCTACATACGAGAAAGCCCCCATGAACAAAATATTTATAGATTTTTGTCTAAAATTGGGAACCAATCCAACAACTCAGAGAGGCGGGTGCCGTCGTGGTCCCACCCGTCACTCTTGGAAGATGTAAATTTTCTGTGCAAATTAACACCCAAATTCATAAAAAATAAAGAAGACTTCAGCTGCGTCATAAATCGAAAATTTGTAAGAAAATGTCACTTTATAAAGCTCTTTAAAGCTATTTTATTTTTTATGAATTAGGGCATAACAATATAACTACGTTTTATACTTTAGTTTCGTAATAATCTGATATCTGACTTCAAGTGTTACATTTTGAAACTTGTCAAATTAATGGTTAAAGAGAAATTACTTAAAATTTGAGCAAAAACGAGTTAAAATGTCCCAGCCGTCACACTGGAATGCCCCTTAACTTACTTACAAACATACATATGCGATGCTATACAAAGAAGTTTTAAATTCAACACAGAGTCATTTAACGAATGCTGTAACTGATTTGATGACTCTTATTATGTTCTCATGCCTTTTTCAGAAAAAGCTACCAGCGAAACCAATACAAATGAAGACTGGTCTCTCATATTAGATGTATGTGATAGGGTTTCATCCAACCCACGAAGCGCCAAAGACTGTTTGAAGGCGATTATGAAGCGTATGGGTCACGCCGATCCACATGTAGTCATGCAGGCTTTAACGCTTTTAGATGCTTGTGTAAATAATTGTGGTAAACCATTTCATTTGGAAATTGCTTCTAGAGATTTCGAAAATGAATTTAGGCGTTTGTTATCAAAGGCACAACCCAAAGTTTCATTGGTGAGTAACTATAAAACAGGACATTTTCAACATATTTATCTAAACGTAATTTTTGTATGTGCAGAATATGCGTCAAGTGCTTAAAAACTGGGCTGAAAACGATTTTAAGAGTGATCCGGAATTAAATTTAATACCTTCGTTCTACAACAAGCTACGTCATGAAGGCTACGACTTCAGCAATTTGAACGAAAAGCCACCAAAGTTAGTAACAAAATTGACTGCTTTACAGGATCCAAACGTAGTAAGCAGTCAACAAGAGGAGGATGACATTGCTAAAGCTATTGAACTATCATTGAAGGAGGCGAAAAGTAGTCCAAAGCATCAAGGCAACGCGGGAGGTACTAGCGGAGGAGCCTCGGTCGCATCTTCTGCTTATGTAAGTGCATTCCTTAAATACCAAGCGGAGTTGGGGGTAGGGCACTAAATTTTCAATTTACACTAATAGCCAGAGACAGTGGGGTAGCCAGGATTTGGCTTTGGGGGGATGAAAAAAAATGTCCATCGATAACTTAAATCTGTGACACACAATGGCTAGAGGCGTCGCCTGAGTGTATTCTTTCATATATTTATGTATGTTCCAGTTTTACCGTTATATACTTTTTATCTACTCGTTTATTCCATGGTTTCTTCATACTTTATTTAAATTTAAAAAATTAAATTACTATACCGTTTTAAAATTCACTGCGGGAAATTTATATACCCGAGCGCACTTGTTTTATTCTCTTTTTGTCTTCGCCTTCTCGGTTTTGCCTTTATAAGTTTTAAAAAAAGGTTTTAAACGAATCATTATATCACATTCCTAGGCAAGTTTTGAAGGAATATTTTCGATACTATATTTTATTAAAACAAAATGTCGAAGTCAGCTTCATATAGAAACAGTGTCATCGTTAATTAAGAAAGAGATGTTCTTAAATATCATAACTTTACGACACTCACATATTGACTA